GGGGGCTCTCCTGAGTTGTGCTATGCGAGCCGCGTGCGGAGAGAGCGAGCCTCAACTTGCCTCAGCCTCAGCCTCAGCCTGCTTCAGCCTCAGCCTCAGTCTGCCTTCAGCCTCGGCCTCAGCCCCAGCCTGCCTCAGCCTCAGCCTGCCTCAGCCTCAGCCTGCCTCAGCCTCAGCCTCAGCCTGCCTCAGCGTCAGCCTCGGCAGCCTCGCGCGCATTTCGCGCGGATCCTCTCGACCCCGCCGGCCGAGGGGATGGGGGGAGATAAAGAGAGGGAACAAAGAGAGAAGGGGGATGTATCGGAGAAACCTGGCCCCAAAAAGCGCCGCCCTGGCGGCGAGAGGAGGGGGGCTCTCCTGAGTTGTGCCATGCGAGCCGCGTGCGGAGAGAGCGAGCCTCAGCCTGCCTCAGCCTCAGCCTCAGCCTGCTTCAGCCTCAGCCTCAGTCTGCCTTCAGCCTCGGCCTCAGCCTCAGCCTGCCTCAGCCTCAGCCTGCCTCAGCCTCAGCCTCAGCCTGCCTCAGCCTCAGCCTCGGCCTGCCTCAGCCTCGCGCGAATTTCGCGCGGATCCTCTCGACCCCGCCGGCCGAGGGGATGGGGGGAGATAAAGAGAGGGAACAAAGAGAGAAGGGGGATGTATCGGAGAAACCTCGCCCCAAAAAGCGCCGCCCTGGCGGCGAGAGAGGGGGGCTCTCCTGAGTTGTGCTATGCGAGCCGCGTGCGGAGAGAGCGAGCCTCAGCCTGCCTCAGCCTCAGCCTCAGCCTGCTTCAGCCTCAGCCTCAGTCTGCCTTCAGCCTCGGCCTCAGCCTCAGCCTGCCTCAGCCTGCCTCAGCCTCAGCCTCAGCCCGCCTCAGCCTCAGCCTCGGCCTGCCTCAGCCTCGCGCGCATTTCGCGCGGATTCTCTCGACCCCGCCGGCCGAGGGGATGGGGGGAGATAAAGAGAGGGAACAAAGAGAGAAGGGGAATGTATCGGAGAAACCTCGCCCCCTAAAGAGCCGCCCTGGCGGCGAGAGAGGGGGGCTCTCCTGAGTTGTGCTATGCGAGCCGCGTGCGGAGAGAGCGAGCCTCAGCCTGCCTCAGCCTCAGCCTCAGCCTGCTTCAGCCTCAGCCTCAGTCTGCCTTCAGCCTCGGCCTCAGCCTCAGCCTGCCTCAGCCTCAGCCTGCCTCAGCCTCAGCCTCAGCCTGCCTCAGCCTCAGCCTCGGCCTGCCTCAGCCTCGCGCGCATTTCGCGCGGATCCTCTCGACCCCGCCGGCCGAGGGGATGGGGGGAGATAAAGAGAGGGAACAAAGAGAGAAGGGGGATGTATCGGAGAAACCTCGCCCCAAAAAGCGCCGCCCTGGCGGCGAGAGAGGGGGGCTCCTGATTGTGCTATGCGAGCCGCGTGCGGAGAGACGAGCCTCAGATTGCCTCAGCCTCAGCCTCAGCCTGCTTCAGCCTCAGCCTCCAGTCTGCTCAGCCTCGGCCTCAGCCTCAGCCTCAGCCTCAGCCTGCCTCAGCCTCAGCCTCAGCCTGCCTCAGCCTCAGCCTCGGCCTGCCTCAGCCTCGCGCGCATTTCGCGCGGATCCTCTCGACCCCGCCGGCCGGGGGATGGGGGGAGATAAAGAGAGGGAACAAAGAGAGAAGGGGGATGTATCGGAGAAACCTCGCCCCCAAAAGCGCCGCCCTGGCGGCGAGAGAGGGGGGCTCTCCTGAGTTGTGCTATGCGAGCCGCGTGCGGAGAGAGCGAGCCTCAGCCTGCCTCAGCCTCAGCCTCAGCCTGCTTCAGCCTCAGCCTCAGTCTGCCTTCAGCCTCGGCCTCAGCCTCAGCCTGCCTCAGCCTCAGCCTGCCTCAGCCTCAGCCTCAGCCTGCCTCAGCCTCAGCCTCGGCCTGCCTCAGCCTCGCGCGCATTTCGCGCGGATCCTCTCGACCCCGCCGGCCGAGGGGATGGGGGGAGATAAAGAGAGGGAACAAAGAGAGAAGGGGGATGTATCGGAGAAACCTCGCCCCAAAAAGCGCCGCCCTGGCGGCGAGAGAGGGGGGCTCTCCTGAGTTGTGCTATGCGAGCCGCGTGCGGAGAGAGCGAGCCTCAGCCTGCCTCAGCCTCAGCCTCAGCCTGCTTCAGCCTCAGCCTCAGTCTGCCTTCAGCCTCGGCCTCAGCCTCAGCCTGCCTCAGCCTCAGCCTCAGCCTGCCTCAGCCCCAGCCTCGGCCTGCCTCAGCCTCGCGCGCATTTCGCGCGGATCCTCCGCGCATTTCGCGCGGATCCTCTCGACCCCGCCGGCCGAAGGGATGGGGGGAGATAAAGAGAGGGAGCAAAGAGAGAAGGGGGATGTATCGGAGAAACCTCGCCCCAAAAAGCGCCGCCCTGGCGGCGAGAGAAGGGGGCTCTCCTGAGTTGTGCTATGCTAGCCGCGTGCTATGCTACGCGTGCGGGGGGGCGGGGGGATGGGGGGGAGGGGGCGAGGGAGAGAGCGAGGCGGGGGGGGAGAAGGCGGAGGAGGGTGAGGAGGAGGAGGAGGAGGAGGAGGAGGAGGAGAAGAGAAGAGAAGAGAAGAGAAGAGAACGGACCCGCCCTACATCCCAGCCACCGACCCCATCTCGCCATCTGTCGCGGGGTCCTCCTGGAGCTCAGGGATCCTTTTTAAGCTTCAAAGTCATAGGTGGTGGGGAAGTCTCAGGCGATACGCCCGACCCACCCTAAAAACTGGCCTCAGGGTGCGACAGGGAGGATCATGGGGGGGAGGGGCGAGGATAGCACAGCGCGCACATAGCACAACACAGGGGGCGAGATAGCACGCAGAAACTTGGACAGGGGCCGTTCTCGATGTCCCCGGAGCACAAAGTTGCAAAAGTAGCCGAGACATCATGACTTGGGGTTCGGAAGATGCGAAAAAACTCGGCGTTCGAAGATTTACTATACGTCAAACGCGAGCGACTGCAATAGCACAAGTCGGTTTTGGCCTGTGCTATCTCAAGGCGACCGAGTATAGCGTGCGCCAGCGTCTGGTGAGCGATGGGAGAGCGTCGATGTAGCGCCGATTTAGCGGGTTGGGAACGACTCCGAGCAAGCCGAGCCAGAGGATTATCCTGTTGAGCATCTAGGTTCCTCCGTAGTGTTGAGATCGCAGGCCTCATCAGAGGATTTGCTCAGGAGGCCTAAAGGCTAAGCGATCTAGGGCTCCATTAGCAGGAGGAGGAGGAGGAGGAGGAGGAGGAGGAGGAGGAGGAGGAGGAGGAGAGCGGCAGCGCGAGCTGACGGGCGCAGGTGCCCTGGCGGACTTCCGCATCTACGCGCGCACGCTGCCGGACCCCGCCGCTGTCGCGTGGCAGCGCTCGCCGCCCGCCCCGCAGGCAGCACGGTTTTGCCCCGCTGCGCTCGGCGAGCCCCGCGGCCATGCCAGTCGATTTAGGGTCGATTAGCGTTGATTCGCGTCGCTTCAGCGTCGATCCGCAAGAGCCGACAAGACGGTATGGCAGGTTCCCATGACTTGCGACCGAAGGATCGGTTCGAGGTTTCGGATTTCGGGCCCTTGCGGTTGCCCAGCCTCGCAGTGTTCCATAGCTGCGCCTCGCCAAGAACGTTCCGTGGGTGCTCCGGTCTTCCCGAACGCCAAACAGTCGTGCGACGACACGAAACTTCAAGGGGCAACGCTGGCAGGGGGAGATAGGCTCAGGGGTGATACATCAACCCCGATCGCCGATGGGTGCCAGGTAGCCCACCCCGCCCAGGAGCGTGCGGTGCCGTCATCGAGAGCCCATCGCCGATCTATACCTGTGGGTTCCCCCCCCTGAGCTAGCTGGTCCCCTTGGACGCTGTTTCTTTACGGTAGGTTTGCGTCGTGTCGACCAGCGGCGACCCCAGCGCGGGCGTTCAAGGTTGAACGCCGCCGGCGACCCAGAATCGATCGATGTTGAACGATCGGACGTTGCGGCAGCGGCCGATCGTTCAAGGTTGAACGATCCCTGCGGTGTCAAAAACCAACGCTGGGGTCGGCACGACACGAACCTGCCGTAGCTGGTCCCCTTGGACGCTGTTTCTTTACGTGGCTGGTCGTCAGAGGGTTCGTTCGTGCGCGCGGTGGCCAGGGGCCAGAGCCGTCGTCGGGCACGGAGGCCTGCGCCAGGTGCAGGCTCGCTCCGCGGGGCCTCCCCAAGGGCTCCCACGAGGGCGCGAAGTTAGTCGCGCTTCGCGCTTCGCGGGCCTCATTCCTCCTCCCCATCCTCCTCGTCTTCCTCTTCTCCCCTTTGGGGGCGGCGCGAGAGCGCGAAGTTGTTCGCGCTTCGCGCTTCGCGCAGCGCGAAGCGCGAAGTTAGGAGCCCTTGCTCCCGAGCAGGCGCCTGCAGTACCAGTGCTGCCGTGTCCCCCCCACCCCGCTGGCCCCCACGGCTTCCCCGGCCGCATCGTGATGGCTGTGCCGAGCCGGGGCTTCTGCTGGCCGCCTGTCAGCCTGCGTCTTCGGGGGGCCTTGCCTGCCATCCAAACTTGGTTTCCTTTCCTGGGCCCGACACGGGCTCGATGCGGATTCGGCGCGGGTTCGGTGCGGGTTCGGTTCTGATTCGACGTGGATCGGACGAGTCCGACGTGGATTCGACACGGATTTGACGCGGATAGGGCCGCGACGGGACAGACAAGGTCTCAGGAAGATGCAACACATCGCCTGGGGTTGTTTTGGGGCCTGGGGCCATCAAGCCCTGCTGTGAAGCCACATAGCGCCGACGTATTCGAGACACAGAGCAAAACAATACTAGCACAGCTTCGCAGCGTAACAATGTGTTATCAGGGACGATGGCGGCGCATGACCTGCCGCTCGATCCCTGGTAGTTTGGCGGAGTTGCGCGCAGCTTGCGCATTCGTGATGCGTCGCGTATTCCACCCGCCCCGGGCGGAGGCCCTCGGGGAGCCTGGAGCCGGGCCGTCTTCTGATCCTGCTTGAGGGCTTTGGAGCTCTCTCGAGGGCCTGTTTTGGTTTAGAGGCTGTCTTGATCGCGAAGGTTCCATTCAATTCATTCGCATAGGCATGGAAGAACTGTGTGTGGGCCATCTTGTGGTTGTCTTGGGACAGTCTTGAAGGCCATCTTGGGGCCATCTTGGGGCCATCTTCGGGCGTCTTCGGGGCTTCGTGATGCGCCCAGACGCCTTCCCGAGGGTATCTGAAGCTGAACAATACCGGCAGCAAGAAGCCAACGAAATCCAACATGCTTTCTTCTTCAATGCCTCTTGACAGCATTGGCCTCGACGGGGGCCTCCCATGGGGCGCCTCTTGGGAGATTCGCGGGCTCCCCCAGGGAGCCCTCTGCGACGTGGCTGGCCGCGCGTGGACAGCCTGGCCGCGCGAATCCGCACGGGGGGGCGCGGGCCGCCCCATGGAAGAACCCGTCTGGAGAGCTCGGCGGGCCCTGGGAACGACAGGGCCGTTGTCTCACCGCTTCCGTGCTGCCGTGTTGTGGCCGATTCCGAACACGCGTGTCTGCCGGTGCCCTCGCCGTGCTCCTCCCGTTTCTGGCTCCGGCTCCAATCCCGGAGCAGTGTTTCTGTTGAATCCGGATGCCGTCTCTGTTGCCGTTTCCATGTTCAAGGCATTTTTTTTTTTTTTTTTTTTTTTTTTTTGAAAATTTTGGGAACGCTGCCCTGCCGCTTCGGGGGCCCACCAAGGTCTGGAGGTTTTCAACCGGGCCCTGGCCGTTGCTCGTCACGCACGCGGACAAAGTGATCTCGCACAGCCCACACCTTGGGGAACAAGCAGCGCTCCTCTCGGACGTCTCGGGGTAATGTTGCGGGACGCTGGCCCTCTGTCTTCGCCTCTCTTGAGGCGCATGCGGAAGGCTCGCAGCTGTTTTGACAGTCTGTGGCGCCATCTCGGGGCATTACTGGCTCATCTGCCGGGCCGCCTGGTCAGGATAGGTGCCAGAACATGGAACATGGCCCTCGGCGGTGGGATCTCTGACGAGCGGGGCGGGTGTGGTACACAATCACATCTCCCGAAGAAAAGCAAAAAACATGAGCATGAACTCTCGGCGCTCCGCGCGGATTTCTGGGATCTGCGCCCGGGCCCCCCGGCGGCGCCTCCAGCGCCAGGGATGGGGGCCCAGCGCGAATCCAACAGTCAGGAGCGACAAAAGGACGTACACGTACATGAATCCACGCTGGTTTCGAGAGCACGCATTGCGCAAATGTTCGTATAACGCGGCCGGTCTCGCGGATCGAGGGGCCGCGTTCATGTACATAGCTGGGCGCGTACGTCCTTTGTGGGCTCCCTAAACAGATCCGCGCGGAGCTCCACACGTGTCTGCTCACGCGGTTTGTTTTTTGTTTCTCCCTTCAACGCTCGAGGACCCACGGGGGGCCCCCTTCCCGCTGCCGCCGCGCCCGAGGACGCCGAGATCCAGGCCATGCGGGCCGCGCGGGACCCCAACCGCCTGCCCGAGCCCAGCGCCGTCGTCCCGGACAGGACGCCCTCGGGCGCGGCTGCGCGGCGCGCCGCCGCGTCGCCGCCGTCGCCGCGGCCGTCGTGGCTCAGGAAGGGGAAGAATGTCGGAGGCGGAAAAGCGGGGGGCGATGACTAGGGGGGGGTGGATATCATGGCGGGGGCCATGATATCTCCCCAGATCTCGTGGCGCCTCTTCTCATTTCATTGCGTCCCTGGCCCCCCCGCTGGGCCGCGCACATGCCGCCAGTCATGATTTGCACCCCCCCTCTTGGACCCCCCCCTCTTGGCCGCTCCCGAAAATGCGCCGCACGTGACATCCCAACGGCCCGCGAGACGCCCAAGGAGCCACAAGAGAGCCCCAGGAGGCTCTTCAAGACAGCCTCGCGAGGGCAAGCATCGTCCAATTCCTTTGGGGGGAACGTGCGTTTTCCCCTCATTCACTTTTTCAGTCTCCGCCTCGTCGAAGACAGGCCAAGAGACCCCAAAGTCGCCTCAGGATGGCCAAAGAGGCCCCCAAGACAGCCGAGGAGGGCCCCAGGAGAGCCCCGAGAACAACCCGCGACGGGGAACCCGAGCTGAGATTTCGAGCTCTCCACCCGAAGATGATCCCCGAGGCCGCCGAGAGGCCCCCGAGAGGCCCCCGGGAGGCCCCACAGAGGCCCCAAGGAGGCTCCGAAGAGGCCACGTGGGGCTTCAAACCTACTATAGAAAAACCTCCAAGAGGCATCCCCGAGTGCTGCCCAGACTGTGCAACCTGCCGGATGGCTCTGCAGGGGCGGGCCCCCGTTCCCCGCGCATCGCCTCCCCTGAAGGCTCCACGATGCAAAAACCGTGCCATTCCATTACAGTCAGGACGCTGAAATACAAAACAGTCTGGGTCCGGAAGGGGCTCGATGTTCCTCAGGCTCCTCCAGTGCTGTTCCTCTTGCCCTTCTGGGGCACGGAGACGCTTACGGGGCCAAGAATGGGCTTCGTTCCTTCTTCCAGCGGCCCGACTGTATCGTCCGCCGGGATACGGGGGGCCCGGGCACCGGGGCGGGCACGCCCCACCAGACCCACCAGCGGTTCAAAACCAGTTCCGGAGGGCACAGCA